CTCACTTTCAGAAAACCGAGATCGAGCGGCAAGTGGCCGAGATGCTGGAATCAGGACTAATCCAGCATAGCAAGAGTCCGTTTTCTTCTCCAGTCCTGTTAGCCAAAAAGAAAGACGGCACCTGGAGGTTCTGTACTGACTATCGAGCCCTAAACGCTGCAACCATCAAGGACCGGTTTCCTATTCCAAGTGTTGATGACATGCTTGATGAGTTAGCAGGGTCACGGTATTTCTCTAAACTCGATCTACGAGCTGGTTATCATCAGATTCGGCTCCACAAGGCCGACATCCCCAAGACGACCTTTCGTACACACCAGGGACACTATGAGTTTCTTGTCATGCCGTTCGGATTATGCAACGTCCCATCCACTTTTCAGTTCGCCATGAATTCTATCTTCAAGGAGTATCTGCGTAAGTTCGTTCTGGTATTCTTTGACGATATCCTGATCTACTCGAAGTCGTGGGGCGAACATCTTGGGCATCTAAGAATAGTTCTCGAAATTTTGGAGACCAACTCATTCCATATCAAACCATCTAAATGTTCATTCGGGCAGGAGATGGTTGAATATCTTGGTCATTTCATATCTCACGACGGTGTGAAGGTCGACCCACGAAAGATTGAGGCTATGGTCGACTGGCCTAAGCCAACTAGTCTCACGCAGTTGAGAGGATTTCTCAGACTCACGGGCTATTACCAGAAGTTTGTAAAAGATTATGGAACCATCGCCAAACCACTGACAGCAATGACTAAGAAAGGCGGGTTCACATGGACCGAAGCTAGCGAGGAGGCGTTTGGAAATTAAAGGAAGCTATGACTACAACGCCAGTACTCGCCATGCCCAGGTTTGATGTCTTGTTCGAGGTACACACCGATGCGAGCGACATTGGAATTGGAGCTGTACTAGTGCAGGAGGGGCGGCCCCTAGCCTATCTCAGCAAGGCACTGGGCGCTACTCGGTTGGGTCTGTCAGTGTACGTGAAAGAGATGCTAGCAGTTATCGAAGCTCTACGATGCTGGAGGCCTCTATTAGGACGACGTTTTCAGATTGTTACCGACCAACAGCCACTTAAGCACCTATTGGAGCAAAGGATTGTTACCCCCGAGCAACAGAAGTTCGTGTCTAAACTTATGGGGTTTGACTTCGAGATAATCTATCGACCAGGTCGACAGAACGCAGTAGCCGACGCACTATCCCGACGAACAGACGTGGCCGAGTTGAGTGCGATCACTGGGCCTACTTGGGCCATTTGGGAAGAGATCAGGAAGGCGCAAGTAGAGGATACCCATGGCCAGGAGCTGCGCCAATCAATAGAAGCTGGTAAGACGACGGCTATCGATTACGAGTTGCATAACGGTCTACTTCTACACCGAGGTCGAGTCTATGTCCCCGACAGTGGGCAGTTACGCGAGCAGATATTACAGCACTTCCATGACTCTAAGGTTGGAGGCCACTCGGGTATCTATCGCACGTGGATGAGAATAGCCAACACTTTCTTCTGGCCGGGACAGCAGAGTACCGTCCGAGACTACATCGCGCGATGCGACGATTGCCAGCGTACTAAGTCTGACTCACGACGGCCGGGTGGGCTATTGCAACCACTACCAGTACCCGAGGCAATTTGGGAAGACATCACTATGGATTTCATCGAGGGGCTACCGAATTCTAATGGATTTGACGGTGTTATGGTTTTGGTGGATCGTCTCACGAAGTACGCTCACTTCATACCCATTACCCATCCTTACACCGCAAAGTCAATTGCCAGATTATTCGTGGAATATGTGATGAAACTGCATGGGGCACCTCGATCCATCGTCTCTGACCGAGACCGGATTTTTATGAGCAGCTTTTGGTCTGAATTTTTTAAGCTTCAGGGGACCAAGTTATCTATGAGCTCAGCATACCACCCACAGACGGATGGAAAAACCGAGGTAACTAACCGAACACTCGAGCAGTACTTAAGGTGCTATGTCCATCAATTTCCGAAGAGGTGGGAAAACTTTTCACCATGGGCTGAGTATTGGTACAACACCACTTACCACGAGTCAACCAAGATGACGCCATTCGAGTTGGTATATGGGCGAAAACCCCCAACACTGATCAATTATTCAGAGGGGAGTACAGTCAACGATGAGGTGGGTCGAGAACTAGAGGAACGAGATTTGATGTTACGTGAGCTAAAGAGAAATCTCGAAGGCTCAATTAATCGAACCAAAGCCTTCGCGGATGGAAAAAGACGTGAGGAAAATTTTGTACCAGGCGAGTATGTCTATCTTAAGCTACGACCATTCAGACAGCGTACGACAGCGCAAAGGGCCGCAACTAAGTTGGGAGTCCGCTACTATGGGCCTTATCAGATTCTAAAGCGCATTGGTCAAGTAGCTTATCGCCTTGAGTTACCAGAAAGCTCACAAATCCACCCCGTTATCCATGTCTCGCAACTCAAGAAGAGTTTAGGAGAAGCGCAGAAGTACTGTGAGGAGTTGCCAACTACCGCAACCGATGGCAGGGTTATCATACGCCCCAGACAAGCCATTGAGTACCGCAAGGTAAAAAGAGCAGGGCGCTATCGTTGGGAAGTACTTGTTGACTGGGAAGAGTTGCCGCCTGAAGAAGCCACGTGGGAGGATCTTGAAGAGATACGTGATCAGTTCCCGAACTTTATCCTTGAGGACAAGGAATCACTTGAAGGGGACGGGAATGATGCGGAAGTGGCTAGGCAGCTCAAGAACGCCGCAAGTCGGGCTTACCATGCGCAGGAGACAGGCACGAGCGACAGCAGAAGTGCGCGTACTAGAGCGGAGCGCGCGAGAAACGGGCGAGGATACGCTGCGCACGGATGTGCGGGCGGTGTGTGCAGTTGGCTTGCGTGACGCGGGGTCGATGCGCGCGCGCGGAAAGATCGGGCGCACTGGAAGCACGCGCAGCGGACGAAGCCGCATGCCTCGAGGCATGCGGAAAGGTGGGGCAGCACGCGCGTGGGGAAGCCGCCGGGGCCAAAGGCGTTCGCAACACGGCTGATGGGGATGGACGCGCGGGACGCAATGCCGCAATCCTCAAGGAATGCGGGCTGATGGGAGGACACGCGCACGAGGGCGGCGAGGTGAGCGCAGGCGTGTGCCGCACGCCGGGCGGGCGTGCACGCGCTAATGGCGGTGCCCTAGTCCTCAAGGACTAGGGCGTGGACGAAGGCGGCGCGCGGGTAGGGCGCCCGCGTTGTAACATCCCGACTTTTTATACTATCAGAGTACGCGATTTTTCGCAATTTTCTGAATAAATAAATAAAATACTTATTTTGCGAAAACTGATTCGGGATGCTACCGTGAAAAACTTGATTTTCCTGAAAACCGTTAAAATTTTTAAACTGATAATTAAAACGGTTATAACGTCTTATTCGACTAACGTCGGAACAAAAACTGATAATAAGTACTGAAAGTCTTTAGCGGAAACCAAACGTGGCAAAAACATATATACATATAATCACAAATGTCCTGAACAGCCTGCCCGCTCACTCCTCGTCTCCGACCCTGCGACCTGAAAAAAAACATGAAATGCGTGGGGGCGTGAGCACTAAAACACTTGTGCTCCGCAGAAACTCATACTAATGTAAACATTGAAAATAATAACAATATCATGAACTAAGCAAATATAACTGAACTGAAATTGAAACTGATATCTGATACCGGTCTGATCTCGCGACATAAGTCACGTAACTGATAACTGAAATCTGTCGGCACAAACTAATACCGC